ATCAAGAGTCATAGTGTAAGAAATAAAAGGGTAATAGACACTTAGCATGCCTGGCTATATGCCTGACACAGTGAAACAAAGGATTAAGAAAAATTTACACAACTTGGAAATTGGACTCTTTAGGCTGTTAACCAATGAACAATCAGAAAGTCTGCAGAATTTTATGGATATACCTGGTTCAGAGAACGAGAATCACAGAAGATAACACTTTCGCCATACACCTACATAACTCCAACTGGTACTTCAGAGATATAACTTGAAAAGTCGGGGACATTTTGCTCTCAGTTACAGAAAAGTCACTGTTGACATACATTTGAACACCAGATACAGGGCTTACCAGTCCACCTACATCATGATGTAAATATACAAAGAGTTTATGAACATCAGAAATTTTTATACTAGAAAAATCGTTAGTTTCTCTCACTCTTGAATCCATATTTTGATTCATCAAAGCAGACCTGTATTTCTACTCTGAATACTGTCTTTTCAATAGTTATAAAACAAAAAAAAATTTTAATTCACGCTTGCCTTGGCAATATAGTTCACATTCTTACTGATGATTGTCTTATGCTTTCAAAGTCTATCAGATTTAGCTAGGCTAACAGCAGGCACTCTACTTTTACATATAATCCTTCTTCAAATCTCAATAAACTCTTTGTTGAGATAATAGCCATCCAGCTGCTAAACTCACAAGATAATTAAACAGTCTGCGAAAGGACATTTCTTTTTAAGCAGATTTAAATTTTATCAAATGATTACTCACTCTTAGTTTGAATAATAATTATTCAAATACTTTTTTCTTTTTAACCTTTTCTCACCTAAGTTCTCTCTTGGGCTCTTGGCCAATAAAAAAACTAATCTGTGGGATAGCAGAAGAAGACATGAAGAAGGCAGGAAAAAAAGGCATTAAATAGTTACTGGATTCTCATTTAGGCTACAAATCTAGCTTGAGAGGGACTATTCACGGTTTTAAAGTTAAGGATAAAGAAGACTGTGCAAGATCACAGTGCCTTTGGCATAAGAATTGTTTCTCGCTATGAGACATATAAGTATAATACTTACAAAAGGCCCCAGCTACAGTTCAATATAGAAAATGTGATGCACTATAAAAAAAGTGAGAAGGAGCATCTAGGAAGAGAAACTTCTAGTAATTTCTAAAAAGTCTATTCTGCAAATAAATATCTGAGTTTTCCTGTATTGATTTGGTTTGAGTCTCCATTTTTTACTGGACATATGAAGAACTGGTCAACATGTCTACTTTTACTATCCATAGGCAGATTTAAAAAGATGTGGTAGCCACACTCTAAGAATTTACACTTGAATTAATGCTGCCACAGAAGTCCAAAGACTTTATACAAATGTGACAATCCTTAAGAAAGATATAATGGGGAAAAGGAGTTAACAATAGCTATTTTTAAAGGGCTAGCAAATTATCTAGAACTACAGGAGAAAGATGTTTGCTATATGCTATTGATTCCAGTCAAGATATCCTCTCCTTCACTTTGTAAAGTGAACAACTCCCTTAAATACTTACAGATTTGGCTTTCTTTTTCAAAGTATCTATATCTACAAAAATCTCTTCTTGCCCCAAACCAACCTATTTATTTCTCTTAACTCTGACTGTATGGTGTGCTATCATTCTAAGGCAGACTTTAGCAGATGTTTTTGTTTTGCTGTCTCATCTTCAGGCTCCTTTTAAGGAGCTATTAGTCTTTACGGTTCCCTAATCCCCCAACTAAATTTATCAGCAGTTGATTGCAGCCAAGAGTTAAGCTAAATTAAACTTTGAAATCCCTGTACAGTGTATCAGATGCACTTCTGGGGTAGGGAGCAGAAAGCTCCAAATGTTCCATTTATATAAAGGTAGGAAAACCATGATTTTGTCTACAAGTTTCTCAAAGCTTCCATACATTTTTCAAGATGACAACAATTTTCCTGATTTTATATGAGCAAGAACTCCACTATGGAAACAACTTGTCATTTAACTCCACATCAGGTGTGTACATACATGCATACCCATAATTTTTCACATAGGTATATACTTCCCTCTACAAATGTGTATATTGTATATGGAGGAGGTATGTACACATACACACTTAGGTTAAGGCCGTGTGCATGTTTGAGACATCTGGTCCAACTGACACCCATGGTGAAAAGGTATTTATCTACATCTCTCTCTCTCAGCATGTTCCCCAGTCTTCATCCTCACACACTCAATCATTCCCTTGTTTGCTTCTCTTACACAGTCATAAGTACCTATCAGAAGAGATATTCCTCCTGCCCTTAGTGAGTAATAAAATATAGTGTTTTTAAAAATCTGCATGTCAACATCAATAGTTGGTTAGTTTTGATGACAATCTATGATCATCCCTTATTATTTCAGAACTGTGAATTTTGTGGTTCTTCTGTGTCAGAAGATGGACACCTATGCATTCTTACATATATACACACACTAAAAACAAACAACAAAAAAACAACAAACAAAAAACCAAACACCACAATAAAAAAGAAAAATCAAAACAAAAACCCAAACCAAAACAGGACAGTCCAGTACATACTCTTTCTTATAAAGAAAAAAGCACATGCATAAAATATGGAAGCTTAAGAGGAAATGGCATACGATACAGATTTATTACCTGAGAGACAGTAATTGCAATCTAAAACATCAGTAGTTTTCAGAAGTCACTGGTATCTAACAAGAGATCAGTACTCACATAGATTTATGGTGTCAATGAAGTCCCTAACAAATTGGCCTTTTGTCTACAAAGTAATTATTCAGTGGTATTAATTGATCCCCATCGCACTGCAATTCCTGAGAAAAGCTCTAGAAAAGGGACCTGGTGAAATCTCCATTAAAAACATCACAAGAGTCTCAACAACAACTGTGGAAGATGGTTCAGATCCTAAAAAGACAACTGAGTTGAGAGTGCAGCTCCCTGGATGTAAAAGTAATTCTTGCAAACCAGGTTACACTAAACTGGTGAAATAAAAACAAACTTCCTCCCCAGAGACTTCATAACATTTACTCTGAGGTCAAATCAAAGATTTGTTTCCAAAATCATTTGTCTATCCTTTCCATAAGCTGTTTTTTCTTAGGAGAGAAACTGTGTGTCTAAAGTGTGATTTCTGCTGTCTGTATTCCCATGGCTACTAGAAACTGCTAGAAAGGGAGCTGGGCACATCACAAAAAGTGTCAGGCTAACAAATACCAACACAACAGCTCAGAGAAACAGACACTTTCTCCCACCTTCATCATCCCATATCACACTACAAGAAAAGGGAAAAATAAATCAACAGAAAACTAGCCAAAACCATATAAGGGGATCAAATGTGTCCTTCAGAAATGTAAGCTTATCTAAAAATAGGATGAAAGGCTAAGCAAGTCACTTGTTTTTACTCATAGCAGTAATAAACGTTCTTGTAAGGGATTTGCACAAGTTCTGTGCTGTTACAGTAGCATCTGTCTCCTCATTGCCGGAGAAAAATGGTGGCGAGGATTTAGAGCATGTATAACCTGAGAGAGAAATCCTCTGTCATTCCCTCACGGGACATTAGCAAACTTTCCCTCTCCTAGGAGAAGGCAGAGCCACTCTCTTTTCCCTGTCTCTTGTGACCACAGCTTTAAGCATTGTTACAATATGCTTATATTTCATGCTTATGAATAATATTAATAATTGGAACAAATCCATCTCTATTAAGAAAGAGTAAAAGAAGCCCAGTTGAAAAGCGAAAACATTCTGTGCAATAAACAGGGTGAACCTGGTAGCAAAGAAAAGGTCAAGTAACAAACAGATCCTCTGTGTGAAAGGGATGATCCCTTTGCTCCACCCAAGTCAAACTGCTGTCACAAGCGATACCTCTCACCATCAAGACCTAGAGCAACAAAAAAGGAAAGGATGGCCCATTCTGGAAGATATCATCCCAGGACAGGATGTAATATGCAACTTCTTGTGCCACTGTACTGTGTGGTCTCATGTAAACAGCGGATTTCTTGGCATTTCAGTTGTTTGCCCTTTAACAGGAGTAAGTGTTGGAAAAATGAGTTCTTAGGCAGCCAGGCAATAGTAATGGAAGACATGGAGGGGCGCTACCTCAGAGATCAACAAGGTTTTTAGTATGCTCTGATACTTGTTTTTTCCTTCCCCAGTGAAAGAGCAGAACTGTCAACAGAAGTGCAGAAAAATAACAGAGATGATACATTTCAAAGAGGCAAAATTCTGCCAACCAACACATCATTTGTGTCTTGTGGGTCTCTCCTTCATCCATAAGCAAGATATTAATGTTCAATTTTCTGAAATATTTCATTCTTCTTCAAGACAGCAGCTTCTGTGTCCCACTGAGATCAAAACTCAAAGGCTCTGGGAGGCTACTGCCTCTTACAAATAACTGTCAAAATACCATAACATGAGCTAAAAGTGCTGATGCATCTGTACCGCATGCTGCGTGGATGCTCCACTTTTAGATTACAACCACTTCTTGATTACAAGCCTTTTACCTACACAAGGAATATATATACAAACTTTTGAAAGGAAAAGGCCTGCAGTAAGGTGATTGCTAGAAGAGATTGTCACTGTGAACCTTTTTGGGAAGGAGAAATACAAACATCCAAGAAAAAAATTATGCCAATAATGAGGATCAATTCAGATGTGCATAATATAAAAAACATAATATAAACATAATATAAGTTTCTATAAAATGGGTCAGTCCAATAATTTTTTTTTTTTTGCAAATAATGTTTTAAACTGTAAGAATAAACTTTTTTACTTTCTGAGGAAAATAAAGAAATCCCAATACATAAAATTATGAACAAGGTGATGATTATCAGAAGGAATATCTAAAAGGAAATTGTAAGAAGAAATTGTGATACACTGGAAATGGCAGAGAAAACATACTTCCCTTAGGAATTTGCCTGTGAGTCTTTCTTTAATAACTTTTTCTCATTAATTCAGAGGATAAGGATGTTATAAGAGATAAACTCAATTTTTCAATCTGACATTTACCTGAGGGAATCCCAGGTGAATGCTGCTGGACAAGCTAACATTTGAATGTCTGTCCATTCTCTTAAGAAGTTTAGAATAGGCAGCAAGAGTAGAGGTTCCCTTCCTGAAGTCTTTTCTGTAGGCAACCTAAAGAGATGAAGAAGAGAAAGCACAGGAGAATTCAGTGTTTGGGTCTGATTTAGGCCATGAACTACATGGATATATGTTTTTAGTGCACATAAGTTTGTTTTGTGTGTATCCGCTTATTAACAACTGGACTGATGCTGTTCAACTCATTTCATCAGGGTGACTGAAACAGTACTACAGATTTATTTATTGTTATTCTCCTTGGCTGGATCCAAATCACGAATTAAACTTGAGAAGATATCTCATTTACCAATTATGTAAATGGAAAAACTGTTTTCTAATGAAATATTGGCAATAAATAAACAGCTGACACAATAGTGCTCCTGTTCTGCTAGTAGTTATAGACTTTCTTAGCTAGCAGTTTCCACCTGGGAGGCTGGCAGGAAAAGCTCCAACTTGCCATTTGAGCATCAATGCTATAAAATTCTTCCCACTTGCTGTTAATCCAGAAAGATACGATTCCCTCACAAACCTCTGACTTTTAAATCTGACTCACTGTGCACTAACAGCTCTGAAATGAATTATAAGAGCATAAGAAAAAAAAAAAAAGAAAAAAAACCCCAACAGATTAATTAAAGAATAACTATCTAAATTTGGGTTATCACAGGATTCCAACTGTTAAAACTAAAGTCCAATTTCCCCAAAAGCTGTTTACCCTGATCTAAATACTTTGACTGTTCTCCTACCAGCAGCCTAGTATAAATAGGAATAAGTAATAAAGCCATGGCTCTGCTGTGCTAGTTTTTCTGGAATACAACCCCTGTGGTAATAATTACATGGGCTTATCCATCCCAGTGTGAACACCACCAGAGTGTCAATTATGACAAATGTCTGATACCCACAAGTGTCTGTTGTAAAGAAAACCAACTGTTTCCATTCTCTTAACCTTGGGGTCAAGGTTTCCCACTGGGACTAACAGCTTTTTTTCCTGCTGTAAATATCCATTTGAGATTTGCTAGGAGGTGTTATGATACACAGACCTACTCTTTCAGCACTAGCTTTTTTCTTGTTGGGTAATTTGAGCCTAACTCTCTCCAGGGGTTTACACCTACCTCTGTTTTTCATTTGTATTATCTCCTTTGGGTGAGACATTTCACTTTCTTTTCCACACCATTTGCAGTACAAGCTGGAGAGTCCCCAAAGCCCCTTGGTAGCATGGACTATTAGTGACCTGTTTCTCACCTCTGGGATATCACTTGCAGCCATTTGCTATTTTCAGCTTTTGAGACAATTATCAGAGGAATGGAAAAATCAGTAAAACTGGAACCACTAAGCTTCTATCCTAGGAATACAGACTTCTCCAAGGCAAACCAAAGAACAGGCCATTGCAGAAAGAAATGATGATTAGTATATGTAAAATAATACATTTTCAGTCACAGAGTAGTAGTATAAAATACATATACACCTAAACCAATATACTCATATGAAGCCTAAAGAGGGTATATATGAACTCAAGAGCATCGTATAAGCAAGGAGTCAGAGTACACATGGAGTGAACATTTATGGTTTATATTAGGGAAAAAAAGACTTTTTTTTTTTTATGGATACTGTAAGTCATTCTTTTAGTTGATTTACTTTCCATATACATTCTAGCTGCCTGATCCTTCCACTTTTCACACGTATGTGGTATTATAAACTACACTGAGGATAATAAGAACTACCATTGTGGATCAAAATTATTTCCTTCTAGTTCTCTAACCCAGCATCCTGTCCCCAACAGTGGACATAGAAAAAAGCCTTTGAAGGAACATTATGATGCTTTCACCTAATATTATCCCAAATCTCAACTACTTTAGCTCAGGAGCTTCACAAGCTGGATGTGGCCTGTAGGAGTTTGGTCACCTTCAAAGGATCTCTTCCATGAATTTACCCATTCTCCTCTCCAACACATAAAAGTACTCATCATCACAACAGCCTTGGCAGACTAAATGTAATAGATGCTACATTCTTTAGTAAGTAAATTTATCTTTTGAAAAAGCTACAGGTTGTATTCACAAACCTGAAAAGTTTAGTGGTACTTTTGTCACGAGAAGTTTCTCCTAAAATTCTGGGAAACTTCTAATGTGGGTATCGACATTTCATCTTCCCAATAATTACCAGTTGTCATACTAACTAAAACTCATATTTACTCCTACTCCTCCAAAAGACTTTCAGTACAGGATTTCTGGAATCCTGAATCAATGTACTGTATGGTTCATGGCTATAGAGAGCACCTAAGGTGTCTCATTGTAGCTAAGGATAGCAATACGATATTTCTTCCTTTTTTAGAAGTAAGATGAAAGGGGACAATATACCTAGGACCTTGTGAAAAGGGGTAGGTTTGATAGCAGGAGCAGGAGGGAGAAATGTACACCTATGTCATAACTCAGAGACGAAACACCAAAGAAAATACCGCCATTTTAAGGATTCCTGTCCTGCCTCTAAACATAGGTGAGACCAGCACTGAGTTTTGTCTTAGAGAAAATAAAGAACTTCCTATATAACAAATATTGGGTATAAAATGCTTCAAAATCTTTTTAAACAAAATATACTGCAGACATACAAAATATTTTTTTCAAATATTTTAAATTGTTGCGTGAATTCTTTCCAAATCTACATGTAATGTGGATGAGTTAGTACCCACCAACATATACGTAGTATATACATGTTGCACTGCAGCAAATTTGCCTGATTTATCATTCTTATATAACAGGGTGGAGACTATAACAAGCAGTTTAGAATACTCTACAAGCTCAGACAGCAAAGGAACTCCATATTATGCTGTGCACCCTAGTACCAAGAGGATGCCAACAAAACAAGGGGAATACAAAAAAAAAAACAAATGAGAAAAATTATTACAGGTCTAGAGAGGCTGATTCATGAGAAAAGGTGTAACATAAATAATTTTGTATAGCTTAGCTTACCCAAGGACTGAAGGATATTATAACTGTTTGTAAAATCAAATGAAAAGCATAAGCACCAAGAGAGATGAGAAAAAGAAGGCTGATCCAGAGACTTATATGATCTACTGATGCAATAAAAATATATAAGCGAAAATCAGGCTGGCAACCAAGAAACATCTCTTATCAATAGTCTTTTATCAATAAAGCCTCTAAAATTTTAGAATATGCTTTCAAATAAAAAAAATCATATGACTTTGAGCCAACAGTGTGCCCAAGTGTCCAAGAAGGCCAATGGCATCCTGGCTTGTGTCAAAAATAGTGAGGTCAGCAGGACTAGGACAATGACTGTCTCCTTGTACTCAGCACTGATGTGGCTGCACCCTGAATCCAGTGTCCAGTTTTTGGTCCCTGATTACAAGAAGGACATTGAGGCACTGGATCATGTCCAGAGAAGGGCAACAGAGCTGGTGAAGGGTCTGGAGCACAAGTCCTATGAGGAGAGGCTGAATGAGTTGGGGTTGTTTAGCCTCCAGAAGAGAAGGGTCATGGTGACCTTATCACTCTCTAAACTACCTGAAAGGAAGTTGTAGCCAGGTGGGTGTCAGCCTCTTCTCCCAGGCAACTAGTGACAGGACAAGAGCAAATGGCCTCAAGCTGAACCAAGGGAGGTTCAGTTTGGACATTAGGAAGAATTTCTTCCCTGAAAGGGTGGTTAAGCATTGGAACATGCTGCCCAGGGAAGTGGCAGAGTAACCATCCCAGGAAGTGTTCAAGAAATGACTGGATGTGGCACTTAGTGCTGGTGGTGTTCAGTCAAAGGCTGAATTTTATGATCTTGGAGGTCTTTTCCAACCCTAATCATTTTATCATTCCATTATTTCTTTAACAAATAAGGAAAAGAAACGGTGAGTAAAAGATGGCTGGCTGGTAAACCTGAAGACTGAAGTTGCTTGTTATAACGCAAGTAGTAAACATGGGAGATAGCAGCAGGGTAAGCTTCCTTTTTAAGGTGCTATGCTAATGCTGTGATAATACCATGCAGAATACTGGGTACATTGGCTGATAGGGACCTGGACCACCTTATTATTCAGACTACAGTTATTTATGTGTGGTGAGAAAGAGAAAAAAAAATTATAATGGATGATCATCCCCAACTCTGCATTGTATATGTATCCTAAAGGGAAAACCCAGTCCTTATCTTTTCCTGAATGAACATAATTGAGCTGATAGTAAATATGTAACCACATTACTGAAACTAAGGAGTGCTGTAATACAAACTTCCTCCCTAAATTCTGTCATTTCACACAGGTGAACTCTCAGTGAGCCTGTTGCCACAACTCTCCATGTCTTTCAATTTCAGGCAGATTTTTACAAATAATCTAGATGTGTCAGATTTTGATTGTATTCTTCTTATTTTAAAAAAAAATGAACAAAATGCCTTTTAATTAAATAATTGACATGTAACAAAGACCTCGCTATATGGTCAATGTGGTCATAAATCTGCTTCTCCCTTTGTAAATAAGCTTTAGTAAGAACTAACTAAAAGGATAAGAAAGGATTTCCACTAATAAGGATTGCTTTCACATGGCTGAATTACACAGAGGAATCACAATGACTAGTCCTGCACTTGCTCTTCTGTCACCGGTGGACAAATGCACTCATTCCAGTGGAGCAGACAGAAATGGAAGTCACACTCCATTAGCCAAAAAGACAGTCCTACAATCCTTATCCTCTCTAAGCTGCCAAAAGAAGGTAAAAGAGAAAAGTTGTTCTGCCAGTTACCAAATGGAAATGAAGCATCCAGCTAACAACCATGAAACACTGGTATCCCTAAACCAGAGTCTAATCTTGATACTACATCAAGGGTTTATAATATGTGACAGTTTAAGGCAAACCCCACATCACTGAATTTAGCAAACAGCATACTATTATTACACTATTCCAAAGATGACACACCAATTGGTTGAAACATCTGGACCCACATGAGTCAGCTGTCTCACACTGTAATTATCACCTGCTCTGAGCTAGGGCACAGGCACAGTGTTTGTGAGAAACAAAGGAGGCTACTGAAAAGTAATATTATTTCATCTACTACTGAAGCACACTGAAAATTCAAAA